GTCTACTCTTTTACTGCTTTTATAGTATTTCATTTTATAAATATACCAAAATTTATCCATTCTATTGCCAGTGTACATTTGGGTTACATCCAGTTGTTGACTATTAGGAATAAAGATGTTATGAACATTCCCTTACATGTTTGTGGTAGACATATGCTTTTATTTCTCTTGGGTACATCCCAGAAGCAGAGTTGCTGACTCCTGGGTAGGAGACACAGCCACAGTTTTGCATAGCTCTAATTTATAATCCCAACAACTAAGAGATCCAGTTGCTCCATATTCTTGTCAACACTGACTCTGACAATCTTTTCCATCTTAGCCATTCAGGAAAATGTGTAGTATTGTCTTATTGTTGTTTTAATTCACATTTCCCCATTCACTAATAACAATGAACACCTTATCATATGCATACTAGCCATCAGAGATCCTCTCCTAGGAAATGCCTGTTCAAGTCTTTTCATTTTTGTGTCTTTTTCTTACTGATTTTATGCATAAGAATTGCAGGTATCTTCTTCCTGTGTCTATTTTGCCCTTCGTTCCCTTAAGGGTGTTTTTGGATGGAGAAAAGTGCTCAATTTTAATCAAGTCCAATTTATCACTTTTATATGGTCATTGCTTTCCAAGCCTTTTTAAAAAGAAATTTCTGCCTATTCTGCTCATGAATGCTTAGATTTGTGCTTATGGTCTGAGCAGTTCTCCAACTTGCTCTGACTTCACGAAATCTTGCATCTTTTGTAAGGTTTATGATTTCACCTTGTAGTTGATCTGCTCTGCATTTATGTCATGTTGCCGGGTGCTGAATAACTAAAGTTATAACACTAAAGTGTTATGAAGTCTGAGTGGGAATCAGTTTTATAACTGGAGAAGCCATTAGGGATTACCTTATTATTATGACTTCTGTACAAATATACTAAAAGCCTAAGACAAAATAAGAAAAAAAAAAAAAACTTTAACGTCCATTATTCTAGCAAATATTCTACCCAAAGGTACCTTAGATGATTCCTCTTGCTCTGTCTGTCTCTCCTCTGATGCAGCCACCTCAATACTACACCCTGCTGATGTTTGAGGGTTTAATTAAGTTTTCTGTAGTCTCAGAACTCAGAAGCCTGCAGGAAGTTAAATACCTGGTCCTTGTTTCATCTAATATAACCCAACAACCTCAACAGGTTTACAGTCCCCTGAAAACCAGTCACAAACTTCCCCTAAGAACTTGCCTGCCCTATCCATTCTCCTAAATTAGTATCTCTAATTTCCAACCACATAGTTACTAAAACAAACCAAAAAAAAGGAGCAAAAGCCACTTACAGGCTTCTCTCTACCCAGCCAAGGTACACCCCCATCCCATTATTCTTGCCTCCTAGTAAATCTTCCATTCAGCTTTCAAAATGTGCCATTGCTAATGGCAATGCCCTGATTGCTAACCAGAAGGCTGGCAACTCAAACCCACCAGCTACTCCTCAGAAGGAAGGTTGGGCAATCTACTTTCATAGTGATACCGCCTCGGAAACCCAAGGAGGGGTCACTATGAGTCGGATCCAACTCCACGGCAGTGGGTTTGGTTTTTGTGGTTTATGCACTCCCTAGAGCTCTGGTGGCCTAGTGCCTAAGGCATGTGACTGGTAACTAGAAGGCTGGTGGTTCAAACCCACCAGCTACTTCTTGGAAGGAAGGTTGGTTGGGCAATCTACTTCTGTAATGATAGCACCTCGGAAAACCCAAGGAGGGGTTGCTATGAGTCAGATCCAACTCGACAGCAGTGAGTTTGGCTTTTTGGATATGCACTCCCTATCTTGTGGCTGGAGTATAGAAACTGTCCTCAGTTGGTCTCCAGGCATCCAGTCTCTCTCCTTACATTTTGTCTTTCACCTATCACCTCTTCAGAACATGTAACTCATCTGATTAAGATTTTTCTACAGGGTTGCTATGAGTCAGGATCAACTCGATGACAGTGAGTTTGGTTTGGTTGGTTATAGATGTCCACTGACCAGTATGATGAAGTCATTCTTTTAGCTGTGAATTCACAATCTGGCTCTAATCTTCCCTGGCTTCATTCCTAAACCCCTCCTGCAATACTCAGGTCTGACCTCTGGATGCCCATAACCCATGCATGCACTCTTAGAATTCCTGGCTTTGCTACTGCTTTTTCTTACAGCAAAGTGCCCTTTTCCTCCCTTTATCCAGCAACAGTCCACTCTTTTCCTCTATCAGCCAGCTAAGCAGCCTACCAGAAGCAACCAGGACCATCATTCCCTTTTATGTGTTCTCACAGTTCAATGTACACATCACAACTACATTTGATTACTTATCACACTGCATTAGTTAATCACTTCTTTGTCTCATTCACTAGTCAAGAATTAATCTTTATATCACAAGGTCTTGGCAGGGCTATTCCATACAGTCAATGAAAGAATGAATATTCCAGTCACTTTTATTAATGCCATTTTTTTCTATTAAAAAAGACTACAAAATTAGAAGTTTTTCAAATCAAGGGAACTCACACAAGTTTTCTTTTAAAAGTCACCCAACAAATTATTCTTCTTTCAAAGAATTTAGTAAGAATTAAAATCTTCCTTAATTATTGATTTGTGCTTCCTGTTAGAGATTAGTCACACCTCTTTGTTTTAAAATACCTTTTAAGAGACTGGATATCAAAGGTAAGATGAATAGATCACTTAACCAAAGTACCTGTAGTCATCCCTACACAAATCACTACTGGATGGCAAAGGAATAAATCATGATTATTATGTATAAAATTAAAAGGTCACAAACAAAATAAGCTGAAAAATTTGTTCGTATTTTTCTCTTAAGGCATAACACATCTGTATGGTATAGAACAGGAGCTCTGGTGGTGCTGTGGTTAGAACACTGGGTTGCTAACCAAAAGGTCAGCAGTTCCAACCTACCAGCAGCTCCAGGGGCAAAAGATAAGGCAGTTTGCTTCCGTAAAGATTTATAGCCTTGGAAACCCTATGGGGTAATTCTACTCTGTCCTAAAGGGTGGCTATGAGTCGGAATCAACTCCATGGCAGTGCGTTTGGATGGGACAGAAAGGTAGTACAGCATGCTGGTTAAGAACACAAGCTCATGAATCAGGATGTTAGTTGCGTGATTTTAGGTGAACTACTTAAACCTCTCTGTGCCTTAGTTTCCTCACCTAAATAGCAAAGATGATAAAAGCACCCACCTCACAGTGCTGTTAGGTGACTGAAGTAGCACATATAATGACCTTGGTACAGTGACTGGCAGAATAAATGCATAGTAATAAATGTCAGCTAGTATCACTGTGTTTTTAACTTTTTAAAGCCCTTTTACAAATAGTGTTGTTTTTCTTTTCCCACAATGGAAAAATGACGTTGTTTGGACAAGAAATGCTAACTCCATTTCAGAGAGAAAGCAGAGAGATTATATAATTTTCCTACAATATTTTAAGTGGCAGACTTGAAACCAGAAACTACACACAAGCCCAGCCCCAGACCAAAATGACCAAATCTCCACAGAACCGGTTTGGAAGATTCTTTGCAGTTTCTCCTATTATTTCCTCATATTGTCAGCAACAGGCAGCCTGAAGACCTGCTCAGAACAGCTGAACTACCTCATTTGCTGAAGAGGTAAAAGAAGCCTCATTCTCACAGTGCCTGAGATGACAAATACTGATGATTGAGACATAAAGTGCTATTGGGCTTTCTTAACAGCAAGGTACTCCACCAAACACTGTGATTCAAAAAAAAGTTATGCTTATCTGTCACATCAAAGTACAATGTGGCAAAAGAAACGGCAAACATTTCTTAAATGAATAATTTTCTATTACTATCTCAAAAATGGGAGCCCTGGTGGCATACTGCCTAAGGCATCTGACTGCGTTTAACCAGAAGGCTGGCGGTTCAAACCCATCAGCCACACTTGGGGAGAAAGATTGGGCAATCTACTTCCTTAGAGATACTGACTCAGAAACCCAAGAAAAGGTCACTATGAGTCGAAACGACTCAATGGCAGTGAGTTTGGTTTTTGGGTTTTGGTTCTGTTTCTGATCTCAAAAAATATGAAAGTGTCGCAAAAAGGACTTTCATCAAGACAGTGTTTTGAAAATTTGCCCAAGTAGTAATGTTTCACGAGACGACGTTTAGTGTACAAATGAGTGGTGGATAGGAACAAATAACACTTCATCTTTCTAAGACCTTCACCAATACATATCTTCAATACTTTCTAGGGCTTAAACCTAATTCCAGTGTTACTAATTCCAGTGTTACTGATCTACAGCCACGTGCATATCAAATACACTTATATGAACGCGAAAAACAAATGGCAATGCTTCCAGGGAATCCACCTGCATTAGGGATGAACAATTAAGAAAATGTCTCCAGAATAACACTTAAGTGCTCTCCTTATCTTCTCTTCAAATTGGCAAGTAGAAATTAAGATATACCTTAAAGATTGGCAGGGCCTATCATTCTTTCGTGACACTGCCAATCTGGCACCTACTGGCACGCCTCTGTCGACTACAGAATACTAAATCACACAAGGCAGCTCAATCCCTACCATCGATAGTTCACGCCCAAGCCTCGCATGTGGTGACCGCTTGAGATGTTTTTGCACTTCTGATTTAGAACTGGCAGAGCTCAGACTGTGTTCAAAGGCGGTGCGGCAAGACTCGTCGAGGGCGAGAGCCGGCAAGTCTTGAAACTCAGTCGGTACACACCACCAGGACACCCGGCCCCTCCTCCTTCTGCCTCGCCAAATCCTCCAGCGCGGGCCCTCGGGCCCCGACGCCTCTGTGAGTTGCTTCCGCGAGCAACCTCTCACCTGAGCAGGCAACGCCGCCACCAGCATCAGGACCCCAATTCCCAATCAACTGGCCATTACGCAGGGCTGCAGCCCAGGGGAGGCCAATAGCTCAGGAGAATGACACCATACTGCTACTCCCCCGCTGCCGATTCGGGGATCCCCGGCCGCCGCCATTTTCCCCGCGCCGTAACCCCCGCCTGCCAGTTCTAGCCTCCCACCTGTGACCGGCAGGGGACGACGCGCGACAACGTGGGGGTCGCGTGGGCCAGCTGGGGAATCCGCAAGGGTCACAACCTCCGGGGAGAACCCGCCGCTAATTCATCCCTAAGCCGGGAGGCGTCCGGACCGTCGCCCTAGTAATGCGTCCAGTCAGGCTTCAAGTCGATTGGCTGTAAGCGGCCATGACGCGACGGCGTCCCCGGCTGCGTGGGAAGCCCGGGTCCCCGGCGCCCCGCCCCTGCTCTCGGGCCCGCTGAAACTCGCATCTCCAGCCTTCGAGGGCTCGTTTAAAGGGTCCGCGCTGATTTCCTTCTCTGGCCTCTTGGAAAAGAAAGACCAAGAGAGCAATGAGAGGTAGACGCGGGAAGCAATGTAAGTAGGAAATCAACGGATGTCATTGTCTTAGGAAACCTAATGATTCGTCCATCTCCTGGAGTTTTGGAATGGAAAGCAGAAACCTGCGAAGGTTAATTTGCAAGGCTAATTTACTTGTCTGAGATCTTAAGTAAATCAATAGAAGAACTGCTGCTACTACCACAACGCACGTCCTGGTAAAGTAACAGAAAACTCTACCTAGCAGCATTTCCCCATCCTGGATAAACCTTGTTGCCCCTGAGCTCTACAGCACTTTTCATTATAACCTTCTTAAAAGGTATTCATCACTTTCTACCGTACTGTATCTTTTCCATAACCTACTAGACGCTAATCATTAATGGTGGGAACTGTGGTTAAACTACTTTTCATTTCTCCTACACATTGATTTCCTTGTGTTGGCCTTCAATAAATACTCACCGAATCAAAATCATCATAGTCATCCATAATTCATGTATGTTTTTGTATTTTGTTCTTCATGCAACAAGGAACAGAGGGGGATATATATTTAAAAAAAAAAAAATACAAGATCCCTATTGTCGTAGAGTTTATAGTGTAATGTTGTGTTGTTGTTGTTATGTTCGGTGGAGTCGGCCCCGACTTATAGTGACCCCTTCTTGGGTTTCCGAGGCAGTATCACTACGAAAGTAGGATTGCCCAACCTTCCTTCCCAGGAGTGGCTGGTGGGTTTGAACCGCCAACCTTCTGGTTAGCAGTCAAGTGCTTTAGCCACTATGCTACCAGAGCTCCAATAATTGGGATAAATTTCAGAGATTGGGGCAAGGGGCGGGAGGTGTCTCTCCTCCAAAAAGTGGATTCCTACCACTCAAAACTGACCCTCTGGACGTTTCCTGTATATAATATGCCTCTCAGAGCTCTGGTGGCATAGTGCCTAAGGCATTTCTACTAACCAGATGGTTGGCAGTTCAAACCCACCAGCCACTCCATGGAAAGAAGACTGGGCAATCTACTTCTGTAAAGATTTACTGCCTCAGAAACCCAAAGGAGGTTACTATGGGTTGGAATCAACTCCATGGCAGTGAGTTTGTTTTTTCTGAATGTGCCTCTGCCCAAACTTTCCATGAGCACTATATTACTCTTAATACTGTGTGCTCAACCAGCTGTTTAAAATACATGAATTTATAACACAATCAGATCAAGAACATCTCTGATCACAAACCTTCCTAGCTAGGTAAATACCAAGTAAGCAAAGAGTTCAAATTGTACAGAAGGCACTTTGTCCTACCTCAGCCTCAAACCCTGTTAAATACTCTCACTGACTCTTAGCAAGGGAGGTCCTTCGGACTAGAACTGAGATTCACTCTAGATCCTAGGCTAAAATTATTCTCCTTTAACTTAAGTCGTGGTGTAATAATAGTTTTTATTAGATTCTCTCCATAGATTTTCCCTGCCTAATAAAAGAACATTTAAATAGCACAGGGGCAGTAGCTCAAATCCTGACTTCTTCCATTTACTAGTTATGTGGCCTTGAAAAAGTCATGTAATCTCCCTGAGACTCAAATTTCCTTATCTGTAAAATAGAATCATCTTTCCCTTCAGAATTGTAAAGGAAAAAGAGACTTTAGCTTGTAGCAAGGCTTTGTCCTGGATTCCACTTTTGGTGTAGCTTCTCCAAGACAATGTGGTAAAGTCATTAAAGCCATGCATCAGGTTGGGAGCCAAACAAACCTTAATTTGAATCCCATTTCTGACACTACTTAAACTGTGAAAATTTGGTTAAGTCCCTTAATCTCTCTAAGCCTTGATATTTTTATCTGCAAAACTTTGCTATTATCTGTTAGGCTTGTTGAGCATGTAGAGTGGAATAATAATCATAACTACCTGCCATTTATTGAGTCTTCACAGTATGCCAGGTACCATGTAAGCCCTTTATGTACATAATTCTAAAAACATCCGTTCTATGGATGGGGATGATGAGACTTAGAAAAGGTAAGCTACTTGCCAAGGTCTCACATTCAGTATATGGCAGAGTCAGGCAGAAATCCAGGTTTCTCTGATACTGATGGCCTTTTACCTAACTATTCTGCCAAGTTATATTGTATCCTCTTTGGAAATCACTAGCATATGATACGAAGATCCTCACACTTAGTACCACTACCATAGATCTCTTCTCCAGACCTTGTCTCTAATCTTCCTTGTTCCTTCCAGGCCCGTGACCAACCAGCTAAGCATTTCCCACTGCCAGTGTCCAGGTATATCTCTCTTGAGCCAATTCTCTCCCACACAAAATGACCAGGGAGACTGCCCTAAACTTTGTTCATTGGGAATATTGCCCCTAGCACTTGTGGTGGTTAAGTTTGTGTGTCAGCTTGGCTAGGCCTGGTTAAGTGGCTGGGCATCTGGTGGTAGTTATTCCCAACGATGAGACTGGTAATCAACTCCACAGTGAAATCTACTGTGAGCAGCTGAGTAGCTGCCTTGGGGATGTGGTTTGCTTCCTGTATATAGAAGCCTTGAGGAATGGTCTCTAGCTTATGCCATGCTTGAACCCTGCGTGTAGCTGAGTCGTTGTTCAGCAGCCTGCCATGCTCTGCCGATCCTGGACCTTTCAATGGACTTGAATCAATGGCCTGCTGGGTGGTTTGCTAACATCGGGACTGTACCATTTTATTTGTTGACCTTGGGCTTGTTAGCCTCAGCAGCCAGTAGCTACCTGAGTAAAGAGATGCCTCTAGCTTCAGTGGGCTGGGAGCAAGAGGCAGAGCTGAAACCCAAGGCTGAAGGACTTTCACCCAGCCCCTAGAGGCTGGCACTTTGAACTCGGACTTCTAGCCTCCCAAACTGTAAGAGAATAAACTCCTGTCTGTTCAAGCCGTCCCATTTGTGGTATTTCTGTTAGAGCGGTACTAGATAACCAAAACACCACTCTATCAGGGCCACTCCTGAATAGGGCTGTGATGAAGTTACAGTCCATTTTCAGCTCATATCTACAGAACAAGCCCATCTATGTCCAACCCAGCTCAGGCTTTTTCCTCCTTTATCGTCTAATCAAGGGAACTCATGAATTAGGAAGAGGTGTTGGTACAACAGGAGACACAGGGGTTTGTGCAGCATTCTTGTGTCCTCTGGACTTGCTCAAACTCAATCTCGGATGTACCACTTCCATTTTAAAGGATTATGGCTGGGCCCATCAAAATGTATGATGGTGAGTTGGATATTACCCAATTCATGAAGGGCAGTTTGGATTTTAACTCACTTGATGTCCTGTGGTCAGACACTCAGTCTCTATCAGAACTCGGCAGTGTGCCAAGAGATGACTTTTCAGATATGTAAAGCACTCTAACACCGTTAGCGTGATCATGCTTCATTACCCTAGATGACTGTGCTGTGACTCTTCTTTTGGGACTTGTCAGAACCTCCACATGGTATTTCCTTAACCACAGATGTCTCTAGTCTCATGGATCTGTCAGCTGGTATGGCCCAAGTGGCAGAGCTGCTTGCACCACGCTGGATATGCTGCTGAGCCTGTTCTTCATATGAACCCTACTCAAAGCTAGCCGCCCTCCCCATCAACTGCTAATGAGTAGGAACAGTATTGTCAAGTGCAAAATATGTTGATTCTTAAATCCAAAATTATCTACCAAGTAGTATGCTTCTTTCTTAATGGTAGGAGGTACAAGGTGTAGTTACTTGTCCATTACTTTGAAGGGAATATCTTGATATGCCCTAGGCCACTGGATCACTTCATCATTCAAATAAAGTCTATACTTTTATTAATAGTATTGCACCAATTATTTGTTTTAATATATCTTTATGCTTATATGAGAAGCTGGGGAGAAAGTATATGGAAAATCTCTGTACTATTTTTGCATATCTTCCATAAGGCTACAATTATGTAAAAAGTCTTTAAAAAAAAACTGTTATTTTTTTTTTTTTTAATTAAATTTTCACAATGTAGCAGTGTGATGGCTATGTTTTTGTGTCAACTTGACTAAGCCTGGTTGAATGGCTGGGCAGCTGGATGTAGTATTCCCCATGATGAGACTGGTAATCAATTCCATGGTGGGATCTACTACAAGAAGCTGAGTAGCTGCTTTAGGGATATGGTCTGCTTTCTGTATATAAGCAGGAGCTTTGGGAATGATCTCTAACATATGGCACGGTTGGACCCTGCATGTCCAACGGATGTGTTGTTGTTCAGCAGCCTGCCATGCTCTGCTGACCTTGGGACTTAAAATCGACTTAAATTAATGGCCTGCCGTGTGGTTTGGTAACATCAGGACTGGGCTTTTTTGCTTGTCAACCTTGGGTTTGTCAGCCTCAGCAGCCAGCAGCTGTCTGAGTAAAGAAATGCCTCTAGCTCCAGTGGGCCAGGAGCAGGAGGCAGAGCTGGACCCCAAGGTTGAAGGGCTTTCACCCAGCCCCTAGAGCCTGGCACTTTGAACTTGGACTTAAAGCCTCCAAACTATGAGAGAATAAACTCCTGTTTGCTAAGGCCATCCCATTGGTGGTATATTCTTCTCAGAGCGGCACTGGGTAACCAGAACAAGCAGGACTCAGAATTTTTGTGGGGTTTATCCTCTGGAAAGTATATGTCTTACTAAAGCACCTAGAATACTTACATTTCTTGCTCATCAGGTCAGATTAGCATGATACTGTCAATATTATGGATGAATGTGATGTGCTGTGGAATGACTAGATGATCCCGGTCTCTTTGGAATATATTATGACAGAGAACAGGAAAATCAACATGGCCCTAGAGCAAGAGTTTAAATGTGTACTTTAAATGTGTACTTATTTTTCCCTGGATT